GAGGTTGTTTTGTTTTGGTGGGGTTTGCAGGGGTTTTTGGTCTGTTTTTTGTTCTCTTTTTTTTTGTTTTCTGAGACAGGGTCTCAATATGTAAGGTCTCAGGCTGACCTTCGAACTCAACTGTGTAGCCCAGGCTGGCCTCAAACTCACAGCGATCCTCCTGTCCCCACGTTCCAAGTGCTGGAATTACAGGCGTGCACCACCACACCCGGATATACTGTGAAGTTCAAAAAGCAAATTTATTTTAAGAAAAATATGAAGACAAGTTGCAGGGAGAGGTCCTGTGTTAAGAACTGAGGGAGGGGAAGAGAGCAAGGGTCTTAGAGGTCAAGAGTGTCCACCACCAACCTGCTTCCCTTTCAGATTTTGGGATTTCTCCAGGCTTTTCTTGGCCACAGTGCCCTGAAAGCAATGCCGGAAACCCCGTCTCCTGCCGGCCACCCACACCCCTTTTTCCAGATGTACAAATCTAAGGTGCACTGAGTTGCACGGGGCCTGGGGGAAGGAAGAGAGAAACACTAATGCCACCACTGGACAGGAGCAGGCGTGGGGAGCGACCTGCTGCGGGGCAGGTGCGTCTTGGAGTCAGAAGGGCCAGCCGAGCAACCTGGTCCGGCACCCACATCTCACCCGTGGGGACCTGAGCCTGGGAAAGGTGTGTGTCTTTGATTTCTGAGACAGACAAGGGCAGTGGTAGACTTGTCCCCCATCACAGACCTGTGTGACCAGAGGTGTCCTTACTCACTCTAGATCCCCTTCTTGGCCAGCTCTCTCTCTTCATCTATAAAAGCAGAGGCAACTCCATAAATCTCTTTCTTTTTCTTTTTTATTGAAGTAAACATACCAAAATTAATCATTAACAATTTTAAGAGAATAATTGAGCACCATTTAGTACAGTCACAATCTTTGCAGCCATCGCCTCTGTCTAGTTCTAGAACTTTTCCGTCACCCCAGACAGGGCCCCCACACCTGTTAAGTGATCGCTCCCTATGGCACTTTCCTCCAGCTGCTGCCAACATGAAATCCTGTCTCTCTCTCTCTCTCTCTCTCTCTCTCTCTCTCTCTCTCTCTCTCTCTCCCTTTTCTCCTTCTCCTTCTTCTTCCTCTCCCGCTCCCCCTCCTC